ACCAGAACGGGAAACACAGCCCACCACCCGCCCTCCCCAGCTGCCCTATCTTGACTTTTACATCTCACAGACTACCAGCTCCCTCGGGAAGGAAATGGTTTTATTTTGCTCATGGCAGGAGGAACCCAAGGCCCCTGGCTGGAGTATTGGCAGGGCTGGTTTCGCATCCTCGGTGAGCCACGGAGCTGCCGTGCCTCCATCAGGTGCAATGTAAATCCAGACCAGTGCCTGTTCCTTTTCATTAAGAGCCTTGAGCTCACTGCAGAAAAGATGAAAAGGGCTGGTCATTATCCATTACATGTGACCCATTCACTTGCTGATGGGCTGGTTTTCATCTCCCTGCCCTGCCTGTAGGCAAGCATCCCCCAATAGCCTCATCTGCTTTTTTTATTCTCCACCATTTATTTTCCTGGGGGCCTTGTCAATGGTGGCTCCGTTCCTTCCCCATGCCTCCCAGCGCCGCAGATTCAGAAGCATTAAAAGGTTCCAGCTCACGCTAACAAATTCCAGAAAGTCTGACGGTTTATTATGAAGCCAACATAGGAAGGATTTGAGCAAAGCACGATGTAACGAGAGAGCCGGGGAGATGCAGAGCATAGCCGCATCCTGGAAACGTGCAAAGGCGAACGGGAAGGGGAGGCGGGGAGCATTTGGAAGCCCATTAAATGAGGGCTTATCATCCGATTTATGTAAATCACTTCAAATGCCTTCATTTATTAAAAGTATTAAGCCGCATTACTGTTTGCCTTTGGTCTCCTAATTTGGTTGCTAATGTTTAAGACAACTGTTGAAATTAATTCGAAATTAATGTTCCTATATAATTACTTAATGAATTTCACATTCACTGCCCTTAGCTCTCAGTTGACAAAGGATCTCACCCACCGCATGTAAGAGGTGGAATACTGGCTGTGATTTTAAAACTGTTGCTAAATTATAGTTTGCAAATATTTTACATTTATATCACACACTTCATCTTGAAGGATCTCAGTGTGTTTGAAATGTTACATAACATTCATTCTTTAGTAAAATTCCATCACAAAAACTTTCTGGGCATCAATCTTCTTACTTCTCTGCATGCCTTGGAATTAAATCAAATTTAGCTGTATTATTATGCAAACACAAAATCATACCTGCATTAAAAGATTATTATTAGGGCTGTAAAGTCAGACACTTAAAAGATAGGAAATGCTGAAACTGTAACTCTGTGCAATATAAATTCCTTTTTCCATATATACGTATTCTCATAGTCTTTAATGTCATGATCATATATTTTCCTATACTCCCTCCCTCCCTCCGGGGACTTATTAGTCCTTGTTAGGGCTCAAGAAAAAACAGGATAAGAAAAAATAAGGTTCAAGAAAAAACTTGCAGGGGAAGGTAGCGACTTGTGGAGTCCTTGCCTCATTCCGTACAAAAGCTGCAAAGGTTGTAATGCGTGTTCCTCCTTTTCTGGGTGGCTGACTTGATACCCCATAAATCCTGATCAGCATGAATGCTGAATATGCACATCAGTGCTGAATCTGCACAGCAGTTACTGAAGCTAAAGAAACATTCGAACGTGCAGAGCATTTTACGTACTACCGAACCCAGTGAAACATGAGGTCCTGGGGTCTCACACTGAGCACTTAAAATTAGCGTACACTTCAAACAGGGGAACACACTTCTCCTTCTCCCAGGGATGGTGGAAAATGTGTTAGAGCATTTGCAAAGCACGCAGACCCAAACTTACTGGCTCGTTCTGTACAGCACACAGTGGACACTGTGCAATAAGCGGGAACAGGACACGCTGTGACCCCAGAGCAGAAAGTATCAGGGGAGCTGTTGGTGCTGTTGGGCAAGCTAGCGGAGGGAGGCAGGGAGCCGATGGGAAAACAGCAAGGGCTTTTCTGAGACAAAAGAGCAGAACCAAAGGCTTTCCAGACAGCCTTAATGCAGACTGTGCACCATTTTGTGTGCTTACCTGTGACTTTGCATTTCTTCTTACGTGTGTATAGTTTCTTAAGGATCAGGGTAAAGCGAGAGTGCAAAACTCATTAGCAATCAGGGACCCTTCAGAGCTTTCCTCCTAGTTAGCTGAACAGTGCTGTGCCTTGGGACATCCTCAGCACCTAGACCAAGGCAAGTCGACCTTCCCCACGCTGCAAAACACCAGCTCAGCCTTCACGTAGAGGAGAGCCGTAGGTGCATGCACATACCCCGGCATGGCTCAGGCTAACGACACCGTGTCCAAGTCTCACAGCTCAGCTGAGGGACGGGCTGGTGAGGAGGTTAGGTTCCCCCAACATGGGGCGATGTCAACCTCTTCGTGACCTGAATCCCCTTCCCACAACAGGGAACAGAGACTCCCGGCAGCCCACACCCAGACAATCGCCGCATGCACACCTCCACGTGTTGTCCTACTTTCTTAACTAGAAAGCCCAACCTCTCCTGCCACCGCATTCCCACCCTTGGCAGACTGCAGATCCTCCTTCCCGAATCCCTGTCTTCTCTCAGTGCGTCCTCCCTCACACCCCCAATGCATTCCTATCCCCCACGCTTCATGCACCCCTCAGCTAACAGGGATCACTGCAACATTTCCAGGAAAGATCTCCAAAGAAAACCTCTCCCAGCATGGCCAATCTAAAAACCTCAAGCCTCCAAGCACCCGGGAAGGTAAGTTCCTTTTAAAGTTGCATAGCAGGTAAATGAGGGTGAATTGCTATGGTGACTTCCTGGCCAACCACTTCAACTTCCCTCTAGAACACCAAAGCTGTCAAAGATGAAAAAAAAAAAAAAGGGGCAAAAAAAGTCTTTAGCTTGTCTCAAAACCAGCTGGGTTTTCAAATTTTTAGAAAGAAATAAAACAGCCGATCTGAAGTAGAAAGGTTCCCAAGTTATTTTTACACTAGAAAGCTTAACAGGAACCATACGACCACACAACAAACTTGAGGGCAAAAAAATTAAGAACAGTGTAATGATACAGGCCATCAGCCTCTATGAAGTGCTTGATTTTGCAATAAGCTACGTTCTCCCAGCACTTTGCACGACTTCTTGTTTACTCCTTTGCAACAAATTCTCTTAGGCACACAGCATTATATGACCTTATCATCAACCCACCTTCAAAGCAGATTGCTCTTTTTTTTTTTTTCCAGCTGGGGTTTGAGGTCACATGCTAGCAGCTGAAGGTTATTCCTGCAAGAGAGCAGAGCCATCAGACCACCTCAGCCTAGGCTTCCCTTCCAATTCTGCTTTTGTGTCAATATCTTTTTCTGCTTTCTTCACAAGACAACTGTGGCTCAGCAAAAGCTAAGATTTCTTGAGGCAAAGATGCTTTTCCCCCTCCATGGCTTCCTCCTGCTGCTAGCAATTGATGGGACAGGGCTGCCTTAGCCAGCTTTCCAAAATCCTGTAATGGAAAGCAGCTGTCCCTATCCAAAGATTGCACCAGACATCTCCGTAATTCTTTTGTCATTTTCTTTTGGTCAGCCTCATTACTCAACTTCCCAATACTGATGTGTTAAACACCAGCAATCCCAGAACTGTACTGAACATCCTTTTTTTCCTCAAACTCCCAACACTAACTTGAAGATGTTTTCATCGCTATTTGCCACTCAATACGCAGACTTTTCTATTTGTTACTTGTCAAAAGATGAACTCCAGCACTTTGATTTCTACCGAGTTGGGCTGCATGAGCCACACATTTCAATCTGAACAAGTCACTTACTTGAGCAGAGGGCAGGTCTATGCGAAAGGGCCTCCCTTGCTTTTCCCAAGCAGTACAGAACTGGACAATCCGAAGGCACCCAACACCATCTGAAACATTTAGTTTTGCAGAACCATTCAGACGGCAACAGAAGGTCTCAGTCTATACAGAGCTATCTTCAGAAAGCAGTAAGGGTCACAGCGAATCTTGCCTCCACCGTAAGTATAGCACCACCTAAATAATTTGGGGAGGGGGAAGCTTCCTAGCATTTTGCATTAATAAATGCAATTATAAGGTACTCAGTTATTTAGTTAACAAGGTTAAAGCAGTTAATACCATTACTGCATGTCCATCAGCTAAACCTTTATTCTGAAACCTCACTTTAAATAACAATTACATCTCTGCTTCTCTACAGTGAACTGCCGAAAAAGCAAGCAGCTAATTCAAATTCCATCAGTACAGAACTATATTTGCCCCTTTATTAAATTTTTTTTTTTAATTTGCAATCACAGCCTTCGCTTCCAGGATTGCTGTATCTCCCTATGTCTTTGCGTACACCAGCTTTAACAGCTCCTTTGGGGAGGATTCATGGAATTGGTAATAGCTTTTATAATTTCCACCTTCTGTTTTCTAGTTCAGAGAGTAATCGAATCCAGTCACTACTGCTGTATCTATCTGGCAACTATTTGTTGGCCTCCATGAAATGAGTTGGAAGTTTGATTTCCGTTCTCAGCAGGCATGTTGGTGTGATACAGATGAACTGCTGTAACTGGCAAATTGGAGGCAATTTCAGCAGAGACTCCTAGGCTTCAATAAGCATGAGAACAGAACTTCTCTCACCTCCAGAGAGGTCTCTTCTTTAACAGGCTTAAGAAATGACAGGACAAGATTGGAGAGTTTGGATTTTGCTGTTGTAAGACGCACTTCAAAGTACATTTCATCTTTCGAGGCTATCAAACTGGCACCCACATGAAATTACTAACAAAAATAAAACAAGTCATTATGAAATAAAATCTTGAGGCAAAATAAGCTTTATCACTCCTCAAAACTCCTTTCTACTTCTGCTGCATTTTAATCGGAAACAAAATACTCATGTATTCTTTCTGACATCTCCACATCCCCTACGACAGAAACGTTCCCTAGTCTTTATTCTGGTAATGCTTATTTGGTTCCCCATGACGGGAGCTGGTGCAATACCATCAGCCACCGAAAGATCGTTAGTAGCATTCTAGGTATGTCCATGAATTCTGTCGCACAAGGCATTTCAGAACCAAAATACAAGTTACCAGGTTAGTAGAGGCTGAACATATGACTAGGCTAAGATTAAAAACTTTATTTTTTTATACAAAACAAAAATAATAAATCCAAGCAGATAATGAACTAAGTGTGTCTTCTCATTTTCCACCTTTCCTTCTTTTCTCAATATAGTCTATCCACAGTTCAGTGTTAAACCACTCCATATTCAGCAAAAGCTATGAGGTTTCCATCTTGTATCCATGTTTTTCTAATTCCGCTCTGTATAGAAAAAAAATAGGTATATTAAAACATACAAATAAAATACTGTCGGACATTTGCATTTTTAAAACTTAAACATACCTCACAATATACAATCATTTCAGAATATGAACATGTCATACTGCTTTTTGGTTCATACCAATAACCTTAACCTCATTTACTCTATAGTTCTTCAACTTCAGCTTAGTATCTTAGATGACTAGAAGTGACTTCCAAGTGAAAAAATTCAAACACTTGTTTTAATCATAGTTATTGTCCTCTGACCCACCATGGCTGGAGTACAACTATATGGCGCAAAGCAGCACCTGTGAGCCTGCAACACCTCCAGACACATTAGAAAAAACAAAGTATTATCTTATACCAGTTATTCTCAAGATTTCCTTAAACCAAATGAGCTCACTAATCTGAGCAACTGAAATGCACCTACTTCCAAAATAATTTTAGCTTCTTCTGTTTTAAATAAAAATACCAGAGTGCACTATTTTTAAATCTCGGTGCACTTTCCAGCGAACAATTCTGAGGGAAAAGGATTGCTTTATTCCCCTCAGTTGTGGCCAGGACAGCAGCTCAGCAACCACAAACGTTATCGCTCCTGCCCTGTCCCCACTTTGCTTCTCACTTGCCTCCAAACGCACCAGCCAGAACTGCATCCTGTTTTATCTCCTAGTCCTAGCATATGCGTACCTAGATACAGTAGTCCGAATCTCCAAAAATATTTCAGGTTAGTTTACATACTTATTAGTGGAATTTTAGAAGTGGAGGACTGCAGCATTTTCTTTCTAAAGATGAAATAAAAACATGCTGCAACCAAGCAATGTAGCAAATTACCATTTTAACACTAGTATACAGTCACCAATACTATAGGCTACAATTAAGGCACAGTTATTAAAGGTTTGTCAAGATCAACTATGTTTATCAAGAATTACAGTACCCCTTGAAAGTCTGTTTCACTACCTACCAACTTGTTTCCCAATATTACAGTTTAACTGCCTTTCAACCTTATAAGAAACAACTATCCCAAAGACTATTTTTGTATCTTCTACATAAAGGATTGCTTTCACCGGAATACAACAAGGGAGAGCAGCCCAGGAACTGTTTCATCAGGTTGGATTACAGATAGTTTGCTCCTCATGCAACATACTGAGGGATTAATTATAAAATGTGAGTTTGTGATTGTTTCAAGCATCAATACAATTTAATTATGCATCAGTAAAGGATTAACTGAAACTACAAGTGACAAACAAAGAGGATTAAAACAACTGGATTAGAGGTATCCAAATTGCAATCACTTTTTTTAAAGCATGTTATGAACAATTACTTTGCTATTGTGGCTCATAAACACCATGCTCATCACAAACAAGAAGGAAACCTTAACATTAATATAGATAACTGATCTCTGGAAAATTTGTCCATTTGGACAAAGAACAGCAATGCTATTTGAATGTAGAGAAAAAAGTTTATAACAACACATTTTGCATACCACATTGCGTAGAAGACATAATCTTAGATCCCTTGCCATTAGCCTTTGCAGTACAATTCAAAATTTTCACACACGTGTAGAAAAGTCCTTAGAAAAAGATTTATTCACGTTAAATTGAAAAAGTGTCAACTGTATGACAATTTGCAGAGGTCTTTGTACTAAGTTGCATAACACTGCAAAAGCCTGAACAAGTCAGTGACATTTGGCGTTTTTCAGGGCTCACAGTACAATTATTAAAAGATGAAATACTGATCAGTGCTTCAAACCATGCTGTAATTCCTTAAGTCTGGTTCTGAAAGGCTTTAGACAGAAAAGCACAAAGCAGATCTTTCGTTTATTTCAGTTTCAGATCTCTATTTTTTAAAGTAAGCAGATTTTAAACTTTCAGATGTTAACTAAACAATGCCATTTGAAACATTTTGCCCATCTTCTAGAACAGTAAGTGAAAAATAAAATTACCTTAACTGATTGGAGAAATCATCTTCCACATTGTCATCATCCCAATTGTCTTCCCAGACATGCGCATCTTCATCTTCATCTAAACCAGTCCAGTCTAAAGACAGGAAAAGAGGTCTAAATATTCTGTGCTGCACTGCTTTGGTACCATGTCTCACTGACAGATTAGCTCAGCCTCTGGGTAAGGTAGACTTCAGCTGGTAACAAATTTCTCTCTTTAACAGAAAAGTCTGGATCATATTTAAGTGTTTGAGATCAAAAAGCACAGAAAGATCTAAAAAAAAACCCACAATTTTTTAAACTATAATAAAAGTGCAACTTGGTAAAAAAAAAATCATTACACACTTCACATCGTGGCTTGCAGGATTACACATTCATAAGGGACATCTTGCATAGAAATGGACAGGCTGTAGCACCACTGTAAAAAGAAAGCAGCATTGAGTACTTGACTCTTAAAAGCTCAACAAAAACTGTACAATTCCAGGTTTGTATTTAAATACTTATTTTCCTGATTAAAAAAGTAACTACGTATCAAATGCTTTTGCCAGAACACACACACAGATTCTCAGTTCACTCAGATCAGATGCTGACAGTCTATGGATAAAGGCCAAAAACGTACCTGTGATGCAGAAGCAAAGGCAAATTGAAAGAGGCATCTGCAAACAGCAGTTGCTACCTGTAACCAGCTACTTCTGGGTACCCAAAACAGCAGAAGCTGTTTCCTTACAGAGGCAAGACACTAAATGTCCATTTGCTAACTTAATTTCTATTTTTCTTATAACCTGGCACACCCTTGACAAATTACTGATCATCCACTTAATGCTTCATTATTAAAAAAAAATTATGATCAAACTAGTTAGTTTAGAAAAATAACAAAAATGAAAAATCAGGAAGGCTCAGAATCGCTATGTAAATACAAGTCAGTTTCCTTCACGGGGGAACAGTTTCTCAGTTTTCTTTTACTGACAGACACCAAGTTTTTTCTAGCATCACCAAAATAAGAAGCACCCCAATTTTGACACTTGTGACCCTGTATTTCTCAAAGCCTGTTAGTATATTTAAAGAGATAACACTATTCTTCCCCTTTCAGTTCAGTAAGCCATCTGCTGCCCATCCAGACTAAGGCACAAAGTAACATTAAACATTGATGGAGGTATGGGGAAAAAAAAAAAGCTAATAGGGTAAGATTAAAAACCAATTCACTGCGAACAACTAACTCTGTAAGAATGACGGTTGGTCCTTCAACTTCTCCTTTTTCTAACATTGACAAGCAACGAAATTAATATTTGAGATTCACCAGGACAAGAAAATCTATTTGTAACTGATTAAAGACAGACACATGTAGAAAGCATTACAATTAAACTTCCCTACTCAAATAAATTATATAATGGGAACAGATGAAGGAGCATAGAAATCCTACCAGTCCTAAGGACAGCAAAAGAAGGAACCGGGAAGAAAAGGTGAAGAAAAACTGCAGTAGAAAAAATGCATTCTTTTAATTTAGTTGTACTGCTAGTTGCTCAAAGGGAAGGACCTTTATTTTAGAACTATCTGCAATAAGCTTTGCCTATTTATATGCAATGGATTTTTTTTTTTGTAAAAATAAAAAAGCTTTACCACTCATCATTTATCTGGATTTCAAAGATACAAAAAACAAAGCTCAAAACAGTTTAAAATGAACACAAAGTCAAACTTTTCTATCTACTAACGTACAAGTAGCTCAGAGAGATCTACAAATTGAAAAAAAAAAAATCCTAGTAATTAGTATCCAGCACAACAAACAGCAGTTTCAATCATAAAAGGTCAGTTGGAGAGACTGTGAAAACATGCTCCAAATCACACTGAGCGAAGAAGAGTCAAAAAGGCCCATGTCATCTTCCATGCTGGGGGGGGGGGGGGGGGGGGGGGAGAGGACGGGAGGCTTATAT